ATTGAAAAAAAGATTTTCAGCTTCCTTCAAAAACCTGCTTTTCAAGACCTCTTTTTAATAAAAAATACTTGATTAGAATATTCTTTCTTTTTCTAACTATCTGAGAAACTTATCCATTTTTGATCTTGATTTTCTTTTCATATACTATTTAAGATGACTTATTATCTAATATAAACATTTATTTTCAGAACACACTTGGTTCTAACTTTTTTTAAGTAGTAAATTTTTTATTCACTTACAGTAGAGAGGTAACATATTATGAATCCCAGGTTCTTTTGTAACCTAATAGGAACTGGGTTATATTGTTTTAGTATAATATTTTTCAGCAGTCATATCTAATTAAAAGAATTTTATTAGTATACATTTTATATTATCCAAAAGGTTAGATTCCTCAATAATCTTTTTGCCTTATAATAGTAAAGAAGTTTTGAATAGTGATGGGGATTCTCATCAATTATAATATTCTTTAACAACTTCTGAAAAAATGTATTTTTAACTGTAATTAAAAAGTTGAAGCTTAATATAATAAACTAAAGACTATTTGATCTTATTGATTGACTGGAATAAAAAGAAAATCTTGATCTTGAACTTTGCTTAACTAGGATAATAGGAAAGAAAAAATCTCAGTTTGAACAAATAGTAACTTTTTTATTAAAAAGAGGTCTTGAAAAGCAGGTTTTTGAAGGAAGCTGAAAATCTTTTTTTCAATTTTTACTTTTTTATTTGCTTTTGTCTATTTAGATATTTTTAGATATTTTTCTTCCCTTTTTTATCCCATCTTTTTTTAGTTTCCTGTATTCTAGCAATTTGGTTTGACATTTTATAGTAATAACCTGCTAACAATAATGCAGTAGACTAGGAGAGTTTTTACCTAAAGATACTGCAGAGTAAAATATTGTTTTCAAGACCAAACTTAGAGGTTTTTATGCTTATGACAAGTTATTTAAATTAAAATAATAGTTTAGCTTTAGTATATATTATGTTATTCAAATAAAAATGTACTTATATTTTTAATGGATTAATAAAATAACAATTTAGTCTGGCTATAGGTACTCTACTCAAAAAAAAAAATAGTTAATTATAGATAATAAAAAAAAACCTTTTTTACTGATCCCTTGATAACACAAAAAAGATATTTGCAAAAAAGTTTTATATTTTTTCATTAATAAAGTCATAATACTTTCTTTAAAACAACTTAAAAGATAACCAACTTAAAGTATCCCTCCTAACTCTCTCTCTTGTTTATATTTTTTTAAACAAAAACTTGACTTCCAGTAATTAAGAAAAGCAAAGAAATATCTTTTTTATCTATGGTAAGAAAGTTCTAAAAAAAAGAAAAACCAATAGTGAAGTACTGAAAGTCTATCTTTTGAAACAAAAATACAATTAGAGATCTTGTGCAGTAGATAGATGAGTAAATAAAAGCCTAAATCATAACACTTTTCTTCCTACTGTTTCTACCCTCTTAGGATCATTTATTTTTCAAGGTTTTTGAAGAATTTTGCCTATTTCAACTTGATCCTTAATTTTGAAATAATACAAAATTAATATAGCTTTGGCTAAAAATGATTGGTTAACATAAAACACATTGGTAATAGAATATAAACAAACTTCTACTGATTATATTACATATTCTGATAACATTATTGATAAAAGAAAGAGAAATCATTGATACAAACTCCTTCACTTCTTCAAATGAAGTATAACTAAAGCAAAGAAATCATAAGACTATTAGAATAGACACCAAATTTCCTAGATGGTGAAAAAGTAATTATTTGTTCAAACTGAGGTCTTCAACTTCTATTATTCCAATTAAGCAAAGTATATAAAAGAAATTATTTTCTTATCCCGGTCAGGCTGTAGATTAAAAAGCAGAGAAATATAAAACACTCTCTTCTCTAGGATTGACAATACATTTTTTCAGATATTATATAATAATATTGCAATTAAAATAAATATTATAAAATTCTTTTGACTAGATATGACTGTTGAAAGATATTGGAAGTTATATAACAAAACTAAAAAGTTATATAAAAACCTGAAGTTTACTATTAATTGTTTTGTTCTATATGAATAGATACAAAATTAAAACTGAAATAAAGGAAGTGTTGAGCAAGATACTGGATTTAAGTAAGCAATAAGTACTTCAGACAATTACAAAAAAATAATCAAATTATAGATGAATAAGTTTCTCAGATGGTTAGAAAGAAAAAGAATATCCTAAAAGAATTAACTCCTAATAAGAAGTGATTTCTAATAGAAATTTTTTGAAAGATATGGAACATTTTATTTTTTCTTTTTCTTTTTTATGTAAGCACAATTATGCATTTTTAAATATATCCTTTCTTTTATTTTCACTTTTCACTTTTATAGTTTCTCGAAATCAGTTCCTTGAAGAATAATAAATAGTAATAACCTGCTAGTAATGATATATAAATTAGAAGAATATTTATTCAAAATCTACTATGGAATAAAAAGATTGTTCTCAATGTCACACTTAAAGGCTAAAGCTCTTTTGAGAATTGAAAGCCATTGATGATGAGTGAGTTAGCATGAGTTTTAGTTTAACCATAATACAATTGTTCTATGTACTGTATCTCTATCAGTTTTCATATTGATTAATAAATATAGAGTACTGACTTAATCATGGGTTTTTTAAAAAAAAAACCAATATAGTTAGTCATATACAATATATAGTAGATAGATTATTGACAATGATTAATACATTGGATTTATTATTTTTATCTTTTTAAAATATCATTCTTAAATTACAAATTTTTTTCAAATACAGATTTTCAAAAATTTTTCATATAATCAGATTTGCACTTAGAAGATGAAACAAAACAAGTAAAAGAATAGAAAGAAAATCAATTATTTTCATGGCTTCACAAAATCTAAATTTTAATTCTATTGAATATTTATAAAAAATTAAAAACCTCTCGGAGTTGCTGCTGTCATAAAAGCAGATTCAACTAGATATTACAATTACGAATAGATACCTTTAGTTTTGTTAAACAAATGCCTTTTTTTTTTTTTACCATACGGTCATTAAAAATTACTATCGGATATAACAATCATTTTGGACGAAAACTTTTGTAACATTAACAAGTATACAGTAGATTAAATCTTTCACAAAAAAAAACATGATTTAGCTTCAGTATATTTCTTGTATTCAAAAACGTGATAATTGGACATGAGACACAGCTTTGATTGGAAGACTCCATCATTGGTCACACAATCGTGGCAGTAATTAATAAAGTATTATGATGGCCGATATGCGAGCCGTATTATAATCGACTGCCAATAACCCGCAGATAGTATTGTAACATGATAACTATGGCGAACGAGTTAATCAACAGGTTCTATAGATTTGAAATTATTAAATTGTCCTCTGTACATATCAGCAACCTGATTTCATAAAAATGGAGTGAGATACGAGATGTTGACCGGATGCAGTCATAAAGACAAACGATTCTACCTGCTCATTTGTTGTGGCGTCCTGTGATTTCTTATCTTCTCGTACTTTTATGAATCGTGGGAAGCGCAAAGATATACCTTTAGTGAGGTCGACCTAAATTAAAGGAAATGGTTGGCACTCAAACCAACGTTTACTTGATTGAAAGAGAAATTAAGTAGCTACCATTCCAACCGCGGCCTTATAAATTGGAGAGATACTGAAATCGGCGGCTTTGATTTCCCAAACCTGAACTGGTTCAAACCAAACATCGGGTTTAGTATTTCTGTCGTAATCGTAATAACTTTTGGGTTCTGAAATTTCTTGTTCCTTAAGAAATTTAAAATGATTCTCCAACGATGCATCTGAAAATCCCGTTCCAATTTTACAAATTGTTTGATATTGATCATCGTTTGGATCATAACAAGCGAGAAGGAACGCGCCGTATACATTTGTGCGTTTCCCTCGTCCCAAGTATGCACCAATGACAACGAGATCTAAAGAATCACTGACGCCACTCAAATAGTCCTTTTTAAGCTGTAATGAAGCGAAGAAAAAAAATTTTTGTATAAAATATAAAATGTACATTTTAACTTAGTTTATATTATCACAGTTACCTTCAGCCAATTTCTGGATCGCTTAGAAGGTTCGTATGTCGATTGCTCGCCGTCAAAAATTTTTATCATTAGCCCTTCGCAGTTGTTTTTGACGCTCTCATCGAGGAATGTCTGGATTTCTTCGGTGTTCGTAGCGTTCATGTAACTTGCAAAAGCAAAGTTATCGTCAACTTCTTGGAATGATTTATACATAAGCTCGCGCCTTTCCTCAAGCGTTTTCTTAAGTAGTGACTAAAAAGTGGATTTATTTGATCAATCATATATCCATACAAAAACTTGAAATTTATGAAGATTTTAGACCCACCTCTCCGTTCAAGTATAACAAGTCAAAGGCATAAAGACACACAACGACTTTAATATCCGCCTCCTTGACATCCTTTCTCTTTCGTGTGCTTAAAACTTGGAAAGGTAACACGCATCGCTTTTCTGGATCCCACGCAACCACTTCACAGTCAAGTACGAAAGACTTGGTATCAGGCACCACAATCTATGAAGGTGACGTATTCAAGTCAAGTAAACCAATACATTTTCATGACACGTTTTTTCCTCCAAAGTAGTTTCATTTACCTTGGGCAATCTTTCAATAATATCCGGAAACTTCGTTGAACTATCTTCTAGATTACGACTATAGATTTTAACTGTACCATCCTCGGTCATATGAATCTAGTGATTAAATCGATTGTTATGCTATTTTGTAAAGAAAAATAGCATTTCTTCGATATTAAATCTAAAAATGTACCTGTCCACGTTCGCCGTCATATTTAAATTCGCATGTAAACTTATGTCCTTCTACTCGATCTAACACCTCGGTGATACTTTTCGTCGGATGAGCCAACATAGGCTTGACTGGAATGCCTAGATTTTATATAAATACATGAATTATTAATCGTTAAAGTTCAAAGAATTCTATGTTTAATGAATCTTACCAGGCGTCAATTTGCAGTGTTCGGCGAGCTTTCTAACTCCGTGTTCCAGCAAGGTAGGAATGATGATGTCATAGGATGGCAGCTCGCTAATTAAAAAAAATATATTACGAATAATAAATATTTAAAAATACAGCCCAAGATTCTTTGATAATACGAACCTATAAACAGCTTTAACTATGTTAGGAGCTTCAGTTAATTCTTCCGCCTTCTTCGCTTTGGGCAATTGTTGATAAGCTACAAGTGATATCAATAAAAATCAGCAACTCTAAAACAATCCCAAACAATTAACTGAAATCTCTACCAGGATCTTTTAATGTAATTGCTTGAGCCAACGATATTAAAATCGTCTGCTCGGCAAGACCAATGCGTAATTTTCCTTCGAGTGATCTAATCCAGAATTACCATCAGTTGGATGACGAAAGTTAGATGCGAAAATATCTTCTCCATACTTACCTAATTAAATATTTTGCTTCTTCACCTCGGCAAGCTGTAAGTAAGAGCTTTATCTCTCTAACCTTCCTTTCCTGAGACTTAACAAACCAAATAAACATAATTTAGAATTATTATTTAAGGATAACCTTGAGCATATAATATAATTACATCTTGTCCAACAGTTTCCGCGATACATTTCATTTTATCAAAGACTGTTTGAACAGTCAAAGGTTTCGGCACAAATAAAGTTGATTGTGTAGTTTTACTGTCCTTAAAGAAAACAATTTAGTATGTGATGTTAATACAAGACTGTAACGCGAGTAAACAATCCAAATGAACTAGAAGGTAAGATTCTTACCTTTGCAACTTTACCCAGATCTCCCCATTTTACCAATTCTTCTTTAACATTTGAAGATTTTCGACCAGTTGTTTCAGCAATAGCTTTTATTAATAAAGATTCTCCAACACCTAATTCTAAATTTTCATACTCAGGGCAAACCTAAACATAATTCGAATGAGAAGTCATTAAAACATAATAAAAGAAAAGGTGTATTTGCGAATCCTTACTCTATTCAAACACAAGTACAGGACAGGCAACAGATTATTTGGACTTTTTCCGATTACGTGCATAAAAAGAGAGGTTAGATGCTCTTGAATTTCAAGACGTTTCGTAGTTGCCTCTATTTTTTCGAAAGTCTTACAAAGTGCAGCGTAAGGAACACTAATTAGAAACATAAGATAAAACTAATAAGTGACTTTATCTATTTTTACAATGCTAAGTCGAATTCTTAATGACTTACGGTTCTCCATCTTTCCAGTCGACACCAATATCTTTGAGAAGGTTACAACTTGCCCTAAATAGATCTCAATTACAATTCATAAAGTTCTTTAGTAAATACAATTATGATACTAAAAATACCTACAAATCGATGGCCGAGGCTTTTATGGAAGATTTTACTTTCGCTTCGGTTTCAGAATCATTTCCGGATTCAAGATCATTAGCCTTGTCATGATCATTATCCTGATTTTTGTGTTTTTTAGTAGTTATACTGGATTTTTGTTTCGTCTTATCTATTTCATCTGTATCGGTCTCTTTGTTTTTATTTTGCGATTTTTTTTGTCCTGAAGTTGCTTTTCTCTTGCTTACTACGCTATCATTCAAATCTGGGGCTTGTGTTTGTTTCTCATCTTCAATTTTACTTTTATCGACTTCCTTCCTAATCTCTACTTTCTTAATACCTTTTTGTTTCGTCTGATCATCGCCACTATCCAGGTCCATCTGATCTAATGACTCGTCTTTTACTTTCCCTTGCTCACTTTCACTGTCATCGATATTCATTCCTGCACTCGAATCGACATCTAATGCTTCAGAATTATTTTCATCATTTTGTAACTTTAATTTTTTATTATCTCCTTCATCGTCTGAAGAAAATATGCATCGCTTAAGGCGCCTTTTTATAACCGGAAACTCGGGGGGAGATTCTACTGATGTGTCTGGTGTACTTGTCTTTCGTTCCGGCGTTTTCGGGGACGATTCTGGCGATGTACTGAGGGAATTCTTTTCAGATGATTTCTTCGATGCTTTTCCTTTTTTTTGAGAGCCGCCTGCAGACTTTATTTTACCTCTTCCCTTTTTTTTCTTCGGTCAGCGGCTTAAAAAACGCGCTTTTTCGTAAGAAGTTTCGACGCGTCACAGTTAGTAAATGACATATAACATAGAGCAATTTAAGTAAAGAAAGTAGTCAAGATATCATAATGTTGAGTATATTAATTAGTAAAACCATTTATACGAGTGAAAAAATTACCCAATATTGGTTTGTTTAGACATTTTCTTGGGAGTTGTCAACTGTCGTGTAAAGCTAGGTGCAGTGGTAATAATATTGACGCGAAATTTTGGAAACCCTATCACCTTAATTCCTTGAATATGAGTAGCGAAAGTAACAGCGGCTGCTTGTGCGATAAATTTTCTAGTTACTGAATAGTCGAAAAACCCTATTCGCATTGTAAAGTTCCAGTGTGTAAAATTTAAGTTCCGTCACGTGGTTTAATTAATTTACTTTTTCAGATTTTGGGTTTTCTTTCTCAACAGTATAATGTTCCTTTTCAGCAAAATTACTTTTGCATTCCATTTTTGTATAAGTCAAATTTGAAAAAGATAAAATTTATAGCTTTTTTTTTTTTAGTAAGAACAAAATTCTAGAAAAAATTATTTGAATAATCTTTTTATAGTAAATAATTTAAATATAATTTTAATAATTTTTTTTTTTTTTTAAAAAAATGTTAATTTATTCTTGCACCATAGCAAGTATTTTATTATAATAAAAATGATATCTAGGAAAAACTGGAATGAATAATAATTATCTGTACTGTTTAAGGATTTACAGATTACAAATAATACAAAAAATTAATTATTTATATCTCATATAATTAAATAAGATAATTATATGATTATTTAATATACAGTATATACTTATTATAACAAAACTAACAAAAAAAACTATATACATTATGATATTTCCTAGAACTTGAGTCTATCAAGTAACTTGTTATTATTTTCAAAAGAAAAGTTAATATATTAAAGATTTACCTAAGATATCTAGCATTATTAATATTAGAAAGTCTTTATATAAAGTCTTGACTTTACTAATATTAAAACAAAAATTTTTATAAGTGAAATTGTATATAAATATTATTACAAAAATATTAATTATTAACTAATTGTATTATTAGTTTATAGTGAAATAGTAGATGTATCAAAACCCTTCAAAAAGATATTATATAAGTTGTTTAATTATATTTATTGAAAAGAAAAAAAGATAAAATCTATGATGTCTATTTAATATTCTATTTTAACTTGTTTTTTTTTAATTATTATTAACATAAAAGGTTTTAGTATCCTGTATTTACTTATACCAGATCCATATGACTTATAATGGATTCATATTTTTATAAAATTAAGAAAATATATTTAGATGTATTAAATTATTAATAAAAACTTGGTTATAATCTTTTGTTGATATATATTTCTCTATTCAATTATTGAGTAAGAAACTTTGTACCATTTCAAATTTAGAATTAAATTAAGATAGGTAAATTTTCTCAAATAAATCCTGAATGAGCATTATTAAAATATATAATCTGATAAAAGAATAAATAATTATATTAAAAAAAAAGTCTCTTATTATATAATCAATTCTATAGTGTTTTTCTACTAAGTAAAATGACAAAGTACTTTGGTTTTTTTTTTTTTTAGAACTTTTTTGCCATTGGTAGAAAGAGTATTTCATAATTTAGGTTACTAAAAGTTATGTTTTTATTCAAAGAGAAGTATTTACAAAAAAAAAAAGAGAATATAATGATAACTCTTGAAATTTTTTTCAAGTTGTTTTAAGTAAAGTAATAAAACTTTTTTAATATAAAAGTATAAGAATTTTTTGTAAATATCTTTTTTGTGTATAGTTAAAGGATAAATAAAAAAAGTTTTAAATTATAATATAATTTTAATATCAATTAATAATTATTACAAAATTAATATAAATTTTATTCTAATAAAGCTTATTTCATATTATTTGTTTATATATATTATAGTTAAACTTTAAATATAAATTTAATTAATTTGTTCTAAGTATAAATAATTTATTATTTTATAACAAACTTTAAATAAATATTCTTTTAAATTATTATTTTTTTTTTTATTTTTTTTTTAACTTATAATTATACCATCAGAATATATCTTTATTGAAATATTAAAAGAAAATATCTATAATATATATAGACTTTCACTTGATAATCAACTCATCTTTGCACAATATTAATTAAAGGACTACACTACTTAAAAATATAAAGAGTTCACTAAGTTAATTCAGACTAAAAAAAACAAAGTCTAAACTAGATACTCTAAGTCAGAATTTGAAGACAATATTATATTCTCTTGATAAATTAATATACTCTCTATCTATCAGAATTATCATCTATAATTTGGCACTGTGAATTATTCTGAAAAACAATAAATTATTGAATTACAAACTGGGAAAGAGAAAAAAAGAAAACAATTTATGCTTTTCAAAAAGTTCTTATTTAAGTAAACAGCCTTCTCTTAAAAGAAATCTGTTTAATTGAAATATTCCTTAAACTTCAAACTGTCTGAGAAATTTAACCATTTCTGGATATTGAGACTTCAAAAAGAATATTTAAGGAACTTATTCTTCTACTAATATATAGATTTGCTTATCACAAGACTAGTACCAATACCATATTACAGTAGAATTAGCCTGATCAGAATAAAGAAGTCTCTGCAAAAATTTTGTCTAACTAAAATAAAAGCTTGAAGATCTCAGTTTTCTTTTTGAAAAAGTCTTCTTATCATATAAGGAACTTAATTAAGAGATAAAGATGTTATATTTCATATAATTCAATTGCTTTTTGATATTATAACTATCTTTTTTAGAAACTTATTCAGTTGAAGAGTAACTTTTTTGTTAACTTTTCTTTCCAATTATCAATAATATCATTAGAATATGTAAATGTGATCAATAGAAGCTTGTTTATATTTTAAAAACTAATATGTTTACTGTTAATCAATCACTTTTGATGAGAATTTGTGCTACACAAAATTCAGAGTCAAATCAAAGTAAGTAAAATTCTCTAAAAAACTATGAAAGTAGAAGTTTTAAGAAGGCACAAATAGTTAAAAAGTGAGAAAATAAGTCTTTTTACTGCAAAAAACCTCTATACATTTCTTATTTCAAAGATTAGATAGGCCTTAAGGTATTTTAGAGTTAGTTTTTCTTTCTTTAAAAACTTTTTTGCCATTAGTATCAAAGGTATTACTTGACTTTTATTGGTTACTAGAAGTCAAGTTTTTGAGTAAAAAGATTTGTAAACAAAAAAGAAAAGTATATAAATAATATTTGAAGTTATATTCTAAGTTGTTTTAATGAAAGTATTAAAACTTTATTAGCAAAATATATAAAAACTTCTTGTAAACATTTTTTTTTGTATATAATTAGAAAATCAATGAAAAGAGTTATAAATTTTTTTTTAAATTAGATATTATAGTCTATAAATTATTACTAATGGCAAGAAA